TTCTGAAATCTAATTCTAACTCTCTACTGTCTCACAGTGTGCAATATTCCATACTACTACAGCTGACACAATATGCTCAAGTAAACCAGTCTTGCTAAGGCATCAGACAGCTACAGCAACACCTCAGTCAGTAATTTTCCTTCTCCTCGACACTTCTGAAGAATTGAATGCACTTTTTACTTGCTATTTCCAACAAGTGAGTAAGAAATAGCTTAGGAGCTTTAGGTCAAATTAAGAAAGAATGTGTGTACACACACAGCAGACACATTCCACAATGGTATACAGGTATTACAGCTAACCGACTGGGAATGCAGAATGATTTAGCAGAACAAAAGTTCATAATCATTAATTTTGTATGTAATTTAAAGATGCGATTAAATAGATTTTTTGAACCTCCCCAAAGGAAAGATTTATGGCTCAGTGGTTCTGCAGCTGACACATTTGATGACACATCTGTCATTTCTTTTCTGATAACCTTCTACGTGATCCTACAGATAAAGAAGCAATTAACTTAGAGAATTAGACTTCCTCCTGTGACAGGGACCATCCCTTTGTCTTTGACAGTTCAGGCTTTCTGCTTGAACCTTTTAGCTCCCCTGCCTTAACACAATATATATGGAAAATTCTCTTCCAAGACAAATATTTAGGTCATTCCTGTACATGAAAAACTGAACAGCCTCGTGACTAGATTTTAAAAATTTATAGCCAAGTGGTATGCTTTGCCTTGGGAAGTTCTGGTTTCTTTCCATGCATGCTGCAGAGGGTGAAAAGATACTTAATGGGTTTTAAATAACGGCAATAATTTAAGCAGTGCTGAGTAATGTCGATGAATTTAATGCAGGGAATATGCAATTAGCTCTTAGTGGGGAAATCTGTTATTAAACAGAACTAAATTAAGCAAAAGGTTAGGCCACCAATGTTACTAAGAAAGCAACAAAGAAGCGACAGCACTGGCTAGGGAAAATGGAAGAGGACTGATCTGACCAAATACAAATGTTTATATTTGATGTTAGTCACTCTGGAAACAATTTATGAACAAAGTCACTTTTAAGGTGCAGTTCACTTAACCAAGGCCTCTCTGAAGATGAGCTGTTTTTCTGTGTTTATGTCGACTGTGGGAATTTAGAGGAGCAGCTCCATTAGAGGTGTCTGCCTTATAAACCTCATCATCCTGGCAAGATGAGAGACTGTAAGGAGACTGAAGGGCTAAGAATTGATTCCTTCTGGCTGAACCCTCTCCATTACCAGAACAATGTTTGGCACAGCTCTTTCCTCCAATTCTCCAGTGATTAATGCTGGAAGACTGCAGCCTGAATCTTGTATTGCTCACTGCAATGCAGAGATACACTAACAGATGCACTGCCCAAGCACTCCCAAATCAAAATGACAGATATGGATCTATCATCCCCTTCCAGTAATGGATATGGTTAATACGAAGATTTTTCCTTGGCAATTATAAAGAGTAACTGCAGGTATAGAAAAAGGTCAGGCTTACCTGAAGAAATCTCCATCCTGACTTCAATTCAGTCTCTTTTGAAAAGCACACAAAGGACCAGACAGTCAAGAGGAGCTCACATAGCTAATTATTAGGAAAAATAATTTGGCAGTGTTCTAATTTTTCATTTGAAAAATGCGATTAACTCTCAAGGAACCCCAGCAAGTGCACATATTGGGGAAATGAAGGGAAAGTAGATGGCCAGACCACCAGCATGGAACAAACTGTCACCAGGAAAAGAACCCACATTTAATTTCCCCTCTTTTATCATCTGCTTCTCCCTTAAAAAATCTCAATGCTTTATAGTAATAAAAATTTCACAAAGAGTAACTCTAACAAATGAAGATATTAAATTAGTAGACTGTCAGCCAGGACAATCACAGTCTATTAAGATAAACTTATTCTGTGGATATCTAGATAGATTATTCTCTATGTATGTCCATTCAAATGAATTATTTGCACTGCACAGACTCTTAAGTCTTTCTAAAAGAAACAAAATAAAATATAACATTGTCACAGCCTAATGGTCTCTCTTGCCTGACAGACAATAGGAAAGAAAAAACCTGACTGGAAGATGAATGTTGAGTTGATTATTACCAAGCTTATTTTCAAAGTGGGAGGCAATTAGACCATGGAAACATTCTCTTCCATTATTTCTATTTTATCAGAGGAAGATAAAGTACATAAATATAAGGATGGATGGTTATTGCTGATGCACAGTGACAGCTACTCAGTATCTTACATCGAAGAACTGTGTTCCATCAGTACAGATGTTACACAGAGACAGGCAAATCTCTAACAGGTACTTACTCTAAAAATCTGAACCACTGCTTCAAGTTCTTGGGGACCTTTTTTTTTGTAATTGAAGATGATGTGGTGAAACTAGAATAAATGTAATCTGCTGTTTAACAAAACAAAGCATTTACAACAGGATTTAGGTTGATAATCTATGTAAAACATTTTCAGAAGGGCTCTTTACACTTGTGTTCCCGACACTATAGGTACTCAAGCTGGAGTGGCACCACTTTGACTCCTCTTTAGAGGTGCAGAAGACACTCATTTGGGCAGGCCTGCTTTTAATCTGACCTCTTCTGAGGTCAATATATAACACTGATAAAAAATTAACACTAAACCTTATAATAGTAATTTTTCTATGTGCTTAACTCCAATTCACACACTTTAAAGGAGAGGGAAGTTAAGCTTTAATGGGTTAAGCTCCCAAATATTAACTATTCTGGCCACTTTGGAAACCTATTTTAGGTATCTAAAGAAGAAATTCCTTTGAAACCATAATCTTACATGCAGTCAGGATCTCTCTCCTCGGAGAGACTGTCTCCTTGGAGACAGTCAAAAGGCACCTGGCCATGGCCCAGGTTGAGCAGATGACCACCTGAGTTTGCTACTGGTTCTTCATCAACCCTCCAGTTTCTGAAATCCATCCTATCCACAGAGCAGCCAGAACCAACCACAAAGGTCCTCAGGCTCTTGGGAGATTCCTTTAGTTTCAGATTGATTAGCATTAATGGAATACTTGTAGAAACATTCACCTTACTCTCCTCCAGCTCACAGCCCTAGCAGCTGTGAGTATATCCAGAAAATATTATAAAGGAGATATAGCAAACAAAATTAAATCACAAAAGAGCATCCTCCTTAATTCTATATTGCCAGTAGTTAAAACGTAAGCTTAGTGGAAATAAGCTAATCTTGAGTACTGAAATTAAATGCAGTCTACATTTGGAACCTCTTTTCACACTTGCAGCACCCAATTCTCCGTCACAGTCACTGCAGCAGAACTCAGTAAAACTCCTCTTTAATGAGATGCCATTTATCTGCAAATACACTTTACAATAACATATTTCCAACTACTGCACATTGATTTTGTTTCATTCCTTCCACATGTCATTGTGCCACCGAGGATAACTCTTTTGATATTAATAGTAATGAAGATGCATTGCATCTGACAGCCATAACAACATGTTTAATACAACATTTTAACTACAAGTAGATGAAGAATCAGAAGGGAACACATTTTTTTAAATTCCATTGTTTCAGAACACAGTCCTGTATAAATGAAATTATCCTACTTAAACTTTGATATTACTTCTATTTAATTTGACAGTTTTATTTTGGGAAGTTTACTTTCTGACATACTGCAAATTATTTTCCCCAAACAATATGGTTTATCCTTCTGTATCTGCTGTAATCAAATTTGTCTCAATAGTCTCCTGTTTCTGGTATATAACTCTAGCAATTAAACATCCTAATTTATTTTAAAATGACAATCCTAAGGTGTCACTTGCAAAGAGAAACAATACAAAACATTCTGTCTCCAACTGCTATTGCACAACACAGTGATGGATTGGTTTATTCAGGCTTTATTTCACCCACTTTGTTACCAGAAAGTGTTGCTTCTGCAGAACAACACATGTTCTGCCAGTGATGTTCATCAGATCTGACTCTTTTCCTGCCATCTGAGTTTGCATTTAGGACACTCTCCGAGCATGCTCACTTATCTAACTCAAGCACTGCCATCGTGCTCTCCACAGGAAAACCATTTAGGAAGCTTCACCTTTATTTCTGCTCTCTCCCACACGATTTGTTTGCCTAAGGAAAACACCGACTTAACAAGGAGGCAAATCTCATTTATAACTGCATGTATAGAAGATGTTTCAGAAAAGAATGTATGCTGCAATTTTAACGCAAATTACAAGTTTAACTGCAGGGTCAAGCCTTTTGTTTAAGGAATCACTGGCGTAGCTTGGCAAGTATATTAACACTGAAAAAAACCAAAAACATGGTCAAAAATGAAACAACAATAACACACTGCATGCGGCGCTGTCCTTGTCTTTCCTTCTTGCAGTTCCTCATCCCATTAACTAAGTTCTAAGAAAACATTTTCACTTATTTTTAGCACAAACAGGGCAACAATCAGTATGTTACAGATTTTTAGCTTCTAGACCAAGTTTAGAAAAGGGACCTCCTACTGCCTGCTTTGGGACAACACTACTCACAAGAAGCAGAGAAGCAATACTTACAGGAAGAAATAATGTTAAGATGTTAGTGCTACTGACCAACAACTATCACCTCACTTGAACAGCACAACACAGTGGAAAAGGACCTTCAGGAACTTACAACTCTAAACATAAAAATGGAAATTGTCAAGTCATTTAGTGACAGAATGAGCTTTTAAGACCAACAGTATCACAAACCTTCCTTGCAAACAAGTGTCATAAAACAGAGATGAGAGAGGTGAAATGCAGCAAGCAACTCCTGACATCCAAACCTATTTCAAACAGCCAATAACCCAGCCCGCTCTTCAAAGTTTGTTATGATATTTACTGTTGCTCACCGCATTTACCTCCTGCTTCTAATATTCTCAACATGTGCATTAAATATGAACAGCTCCAGGGTGGAGCCCTGACGTTCCAACTATGAACAACTATTCACTTCCAGATTAAAAAAATCACTTTGCTGTAATGACCATTCGTTTGTGCACATACGTTACCTGTACATCGTTGGTGTTCATCCTTGTTCCATCCTTCCCAACGAAGATATCATCTATGTCAACCAGAATGTACCTATCCAAGGACAGTGTGAGCTTCTTTCCAGACAGGAAAGAGATGGCATCTATGAAAATCAGCTTGTGCAGCCAAAAATTCAAGTTATTGCCAAAAAGAACTCGTTGAATCCCATCGTGGAGCCCCAAGTCATGAATTACCGTGGCATAGAGAGCACTCATAGCAGCAGGTGGAGAAAGGTTTTCTGGTGTCTTTACTTTTGCAAATACCACTGGTTGATAAGTTGTGTGATTAATTTGGAAAACAGCCCAGTCATTTCCAAGCAAGGGCCCTTTCTCAAGCTTAGAAGGTCTAGTCACATGGAGCAGTGGGGAATGAGGGTTAATGCAACAGTCCTTAATACCCAGATTGCTGTGGACATGGAAAGCAAAACCCTTCAACTGAAAGCTCTGCAAGCTGTTCTCATTGCCTTTGTGAAATCCGATCACACCTACACCATATTCTACACAGTACTTATCTAGAAGGCCTCTGTTCCAAGAGTCCATATGCACGTATTTAAGAATATTTTCATACACTATGAGAGCATATTTGCCTTTGTTTTTGTCTATAAGCACTGGGAGGTCACCTTTCCCAGATGCAATCTCAATGTGGAACTGAAACCTGCTAGATTCCAGAATGGTTACTATATCTTGGCCTAAAGTTGAGTACTGGCTTTCCACAAACACCAGCACTACAAGGTCTGTCCTCAGGGGATCAACAGGCTTCGTGGTCTTCATCTCCATCAGCTTGTATGGCAACAGTTGAGGATCTCCACATTCCACTTCAGAAGAGGTTTCAGGAAGTTCATTTTCCTGTTTGTAGCCATTATACAAGTAGTAGGCAGAAATAACTATGCTCACCATACAAAAAGTGGCCAGCAAAATTACTGTTCTTTGAAAATGTCTGTGAAGTTTCAGGATAAAACTCATGGTGTTTACTTGCCTTAGATAGCTCTCAACAGCAGCATCAAAAACAAACACAGATTCTCAACAACTTGTTCCAGTCCTCTGAAATATTTATGTCACCATTGCAGCACACACATCTATCTTCCACAGAGCTTTACAGAAGGTATAATCTAGAAGAAAAGAAAATCAGAGATTTAATTGAGGCATCACCTTGTGAAGTATCATCTGCTTAAACTAATGGGGAACAAAGAAATCACTGCCAGCCAGAGGTTTGGAGACCAACAGCTCAAAATTTTGCAATAATATATTTTTTTCCTGCTCCCACTACTTGCCATGTTCATTTGAAGGTCTCTAAATCTCACAGGTTACTCAACTCAGAGGATCAAACAAAGTAGGCAGAGGCACTGAAAAGCAAGACATAAAAGCAAAGAATTTACAGTGTTTTAGAAATTCTTTTTACCTAAAGATAAAAGTTCACTCCAAGTAGACAATTGCTAACAACCAAAATATTGAAGAAAATTTATAACCTTCTACTCCTAAAAAGCTAGGACAACATGATTTAACAAATTCTATCTTGTATTAGTTTTTCGAAGAACCAAGAACATGCACATCTTAACTGCTGTACAAACATATACTGATACACTCTATATTATATCTATTATAGGACTTTTTTTAAAGCAAAACTTCCTTCCTTTAGAGGAAAACAAAGCATTTTTCTGGACTGTGGAGTGTTGCAAACTGTTAGAAGCATATTTTTTGGGTTTTTTTTTTGTTAGAAGCATTTCTTTGCATCAAAAAAACCCCATAGAATAATCAAGCTCTTAAATTTGAGAAGAGAAAGTAATAAATCAAAAGTTAAACATAATAGGCAGATCACCTAAGGATATACTTATGTTCTATCTTGTACTTAAGGAAAGAGTAATTTTTCAAGCCAGCAGTACAGCTGCTGTCAAAACTCCCTAGTAAAACAACTGGATGGTGTGACAAGCATAAAATAATGATCATAAGTCAAACAAAGGTTCAAAGCAGATTTTGAAGAATATTAATTCTGTCAAGATCTAGAACATGCCACTGTAACTTCAGTGTAGTTTGCAACCAGGTCCATCTGGAAATGGGATTAGGATAAGGTGTGACATTAACATGGTCATTTCCCAACTGAGAGTTTACTCCTCCCATTCCTAGTTGGGGTTTTTTTAATCTTACATTGTAAGCAAACTTGTCTTTCACTCCAGATATTCAAAAAAGCTAAAAAATATGTACTTAACAGTACCTATGTAATGTCCACAAATTTAATTAAATCCTGAAGACAGATCTTCCTAGTGCCATGATGAGCATAAAGTAAAAATAAATGAGAAAACTCAGATGAGGGGAAAAAGAAACTCCAAGTCATTCTATTCATCAAAACTGCAAAATTCAGCATTAAGAGCAAGTGTATGTGAGCTGCCTCATTCATAGTTAAGATTCATACCAAGATTCCTTCTGTCTGGATAGATTCTACTCTGGATAGATTTTACTCTCCTCACCTTCTACTCACAGATAATTGTTTAGCAGCCCCTTCTCTTCTGGCAAGGCTTAAACCCAGCCTTGAACCTTACCTGCAGCTGCACAAAGTCCTGCTCAGAGCTTTTGGGCAGGAGACCTGCCTTTCACCCAGGCTCACTAATTAGTGTTAGACTGAAATAACATAACCCCAGCTACCTGGTTTCTATCTGAAAAAAATCTGAAGAATGCATAAAGACCAAACAACGATATAGAAGTACCTTTAGAAGAACTTGACATTAATAACTGAAATGTCCAATCCTTGCCACACTAGCTTCAAGAATATCAGTCTGCATAGCATAACAGAGATATTCAACATGGTAAAAAGTCAGGTGACAAAGAGAAACTCCATCCTGAATGAGTTAACACCAGAGAGAGGTTTCCACACAGATGATTTTTCATTACATACATGAAGGGTTCTCTTCATTTCCAATTCAGCTGCCTCAACGCCAAGAAACACAAGATTTCAGTGCCGAAAATTAACACTGACTGCATTCTGTAGAAAAGCTGTACGTACACCTATTACTCTTTGATAACCACAGATCTGGTTGGTCTATACATGGAAAAAAAGAGAATTGACACTGACCTAAGCTCATAGTAAGTAAGAGCTGTTTGAACTGGGTATTACACAAGGGTTGCATCCCAAGAAACATTTGCAGCAAGGACACAGTTCCTAATGCCATTCCATAGAGAGAAAAATCTGGAGCCAGCCCAGAAAACCGTGCAGGCTTCAAGAAAAGCCGTGTCATTGGCTCCTAATTGCAGGTACCCCCTGGGGCTACAGAGTGCAGCTGTAAGGAGGAGTGGCTGGAACTGCCAAGACAGATGTGAGGTTTGACTGTGAGGAGTAAGGAATTCTCTGAGGCAGCAGGACAAAGCCAGACTTGGCACACTCCCTGCTGAAGGCAGTCAGGAAGTGGGATGGAACAGAGCAAGGCACAAGGTTGAGGCTTAGGAAATTTTCACTTGCTTAAGGACTGATTTGCATGGCAGGAGTTCCAAAGAACACAGCAAGAAGAAAACAAAAATTTGAAAGAGAACGTGTGTTTTACAATATCAACAGTCTCAAAGCCTTGACAGTTGCTTTCCTAGAGGGACAGCAGCATTTCCCCTGAGCAATAGTACTTGCTGGATACTCTAGTGCTGTATTAGAGCAACATGCTAAAATAACTCACAATGCACCCCCCTGACAGTGACATCCTTGGGATGCACCACACCACACACTGTAGGACCTATGGAGATCATGACAGTGACCTTTATCACATCTCTAGACAGGGCTTCAGGGAAGATGCTCCCTGCTTGCTGTCATTCCCTACAGTAAAACCAGACAAAAAGTGTAACGTAGCTACAGTGAGTAAGGTGTGAGAAGCCACATTTCAGAAGAGGTCAGCTCTTGAGGAGCCTTGCTTTCATGACCAAAGAATACAATACTTTACCAAAAAAAAGGAGAAGTCATAATAGCTTCAATAAATAAAAAAAAAATAAGAATAAATATAAGAAAAAGGCTTAAAGAGTGTAGAAAGTCTTTGCTAGAGTTCAAGCTTGTTAGTATTATTTTGGTGAAAAAACATGAAAAAGACCCATAGATAACATCAGCAGTTTTAGCTCTTCTTGATTTCTACAGTCATGTGGAATTCTGTGACAGAGGAATATGGTTCTACCTGTACCTCAAAGTACTTGAAAACAGGAATCAGAAATTATATGAATCCAAAGTTCTGTAATGCTGATGTTGCAATAAATTTTATCTATAAAATAATTTCGATTGTATTTTTTAATGGTTTGAAGCAAAAATTGGCCTGTTGGTTTTTTTATCTAGAACTTTATTTCTTTAGAAGAACCTGCATTTGATCTCCTATTTTGCATTTTCATGCTACCGTGTTAAAATTCAGACCAGGACCTTTTACCTCTGCTGCTCAAAGCAGGAGGTATCAAAATGCTCCCTTAAGGTGAAAATTAGCATCTTTGAATATTCAGAATTTGGTTTTTAACTCACAGACTCACTGTGGAGAAGATCTTGCTGAGGGAAAGCTGAGTCACGGAAGCAAGTTTTGCATTTTGTTATGAACACAGACAGCAAGGCTCAATGTTCTTGTCATCTACTGCAGAAGTGGTTTCTGCAGCCCAGAACCAGCTCTTGTGAAAATCTTGCTGGTACAGGAAAGAAATATCACCCTATTAAGCAGAAGATTTACCATTCTGAACACACTGCTGGGCACTCACAATTACAGGCATCTGCAGGCAACCAGCATGAAATAAATGCATTTGAATAGAGATCTTCAATTTGGATTGGTTTGGTGGGTTTACAATTTGTTCTGTTTGTTTTGTTTCAGGTGTTTTAAACTCACTAACAAAGTAGCACCGATGACAGAACAAATACTGTGAGGAACCCCAAAGACCCAAAGCACACCACAAAGGAGCTCCTACCACTTGCAGCTTTCCCAAGTTTGTTGTTTCATTGCTAAGCATAAACGACCAAATTCTTGACTTCTGTAAATCATTTCCCCCTGATAACCCTAACGGAAACTCTTCCAGGAGACAACACAGGCTGGGAACGCAGCCTACTGAATTCTTCATAGGGGTTCTCAATCCAGTAAAAACAAATGCTCAAGTAAGAAACTGCACAGGCACATAAAACTGCATAGAATTTAAAAAAAATGTCTATCCAAGTTGAATCATGAGTATCAACACAATTTTTTTAAATGACAAGAAACTTTTTTCCGCTGTCGTAATATCAAGATTAAAACAATGTGTTCAACTACAATATTCATAAATATGTGAGAAATTGTTCCCAAATCAAATTTATCAAAGCACAGTAAGAAAACTGGTTTGGTCTCACATCAGGCCTGTGCTAGGGCAACAGTTTACTGTGACTCTTGAGTAGAAACAATAAGGTTGGGTCACACATACAGGTAAAAAACTTACTCTTAAAGGGTAACAAAAATCCTTTTCATCAAGAACTACTAAAAACGTGCTAGTTCTGGATTGAGCAGTCAGCAATATTACTGATGTATACTGCATTTATCTGGGGACATGTTTTTAATAACTTTCTTCTAATAATCCCTATCACTATATTCTCTTTCTGTTCTTTACCAACCCAGACTCTACCCCAGTGCTAGTGACATGCTGGGGATGTATTACATGAAGGATGAGTTTTAAAGAGCAGAATAAAAGGAGGCATACTGGTTAGCATATTACTATAGACATTTAAATCTCCACTGATTAGAATGCTGCTTAACTGCTCTGAACATAGAGGTCTGCTCTGGCCAGTCACAATGAAATACAACTTCAAAAGAAGTATTCTGAAGTCATTTTAGTGTTACTAAAAAGGAAATCTCTGGATATACAAACGACATGGTAGGAAGCAGCAAGTACAACTGAACACAACCAAAGCTGGGGTGAACAGCAGGGCTCAGATTTTTAAATCAGTTACGAAAATACCAACATTATTTTACTGACTAAAATATTCAAGCATTAACAGCTCATATGAGCAAATCCAGGCTGAGAATGAGACCTTACAACTGCATATTAAAAAGACATTTTCAACTTGTAAAAAGGTGATATGAGACATGAGCTGTCAAGGGAAGTCTTTGAGACCCTTTAGTATCACATAACAAACCCTGGAATGTGTGATTATTGAAAGGCTTACATTCCCTCATAGCTGTTAGAAAAAAAGGGAATGGTTCAGACAGCACAGCAATTCTGGTGGATAGAATTTTTTTTTCAAGTCCTTGAGGCAAGCAGTTCCTAGTTTCTACTGTACCTGTGATACCCTAAGTTCCATGCTGCATTGCTTAACTCAGTACTAGAGATCCTTACAGCACAGGGATTCAAGCATTCAAGTTTGTCAAGAAAAAATATTTATAAAGATTAAACATACAATGTTTAAAAATAGTTTAAAAGAAGGTTTTAAAGACTTTAACAGAACACAGAAGTTTGGTTTAGTCTTCAAATTACTCTCATACAACACCTTCTACGGAAAGATCTTTAAGCTCTTGACATCACACAATTTTTCTGAGATAAACCCTGTTATTTTTCAGCAATTGAAAAAAACAGCACTATCTAAAGAATAAATGATTTGCCCAGGGTCTCTGAGATAAATGTCCAGCGCACTGTCCCGTCCATGCCCACACCTTTACTTCCCCTCTGTTTTCTCCCACAACTGCCAAGTGTAAAGAGTTAATACGGCAGAGTTAGCACCATTTCTTCCGAGACACTTGACCGGGGATGTTGACAGTGAGAGAAATCCTATTTCTTTCACTTACCATTCTATTAGGAAGAGACAACCCCATCACACCAAAACTTGAAGAAATTATCCAGAAAAATCAGGCATCGAATTGAATAATATACAAGTCTTCTGCCATTTCCCGAGGGTTGCACATGACAGCTGAACGGAGCAGCCGCATACATCAATTTGTGACAGGACTTGGGGAATCCAAGCAGCTATAACCACCTGAAGTTATAAATAATTACTGCACTAGGCTGACTAATTTTGTCCCCTAACGGAGCCATAACCAATTCCCGCAAACACTAGAGGGCAACAGCGTTGCGCTGAACTAGTCCGCGAGGAGAGCGAAAGGGAGAAGCCCAGCCACTGAAAGGCTGGTGCGGGGACCGCGCCAGGCAGATGCTCAGTGCGCCGGGAAACAACAAACCCAAACCCCAAGAAACCCCATAGAACAACCCCGTAAACGCTGCCTCCGCAGCGGGAGCCGCCCCGTCCCGCCGCGCTCCGGGCCCGGGCGGTTTCCGCAGCGGAGCGGGAGCCTGCCGGCGCCTCGGGCACAACTTTGCCGGGGGCACGGAGCCGGCGAGCGCGGAGCTGTGCGGCTTCGCCCCGCCGGGCCAGCGGGCACCGCCCGCCCCGCTCATTACCTCCAGGCGCGCTCCGCCGACATGTCCCCGCGAGGTGCCTCAGATCCCGCCGCCGTCTGTGCCCTCCGCAGAGCCTGCTCCGGGAGAAGAGCCGGGGCGCGGCGGGCGCGGAACCGCCCAGGGCGCGGAGGTGCGACGGGGCTGCCGCCGGGGGTGCAGCACCGCCCGGCAGCCTCGCCCGCCCTCCCGGAGGAGGAGCCGCTCTCGCCGGCGAGGGGCGGGCGGGGGCTCCGCTGCGCCACCTCCCACATCGCCCGCCCTCCTCCGAGGCTCGGCCGGGCCGGGGGCGGCTCCGGCCCCGGGCCCTCAGGCTGCGCCCGCCCTCAGCGGCCCGCGGGCTCCGCCTCTCGCGGCACCTGCGCCGCCCCCGTCCCACATGGGGGTCGCTGCTGCCTCGGTTGTGGGATTCTTAGTCCCTGTCTTAAATAAAGTATGATTTTTATTATTTTTTCCCCGCTCCTCCGAAACCAATTTAGGAAGCCCCTGGTGCAGACGCGCTGAGGGAAAGTTTAACTCGCACCCTCCCGCCAAATCCCGCGCCGTCGGTGCAGCTTTAGGTATGGCCGATTTCTGAGCCGGTCTAAAGGTAGCATACAAGGGTGGAAATTTCGTGAGGTCAATTATATTTTGTCAAAACAATGTAGGGTTAAAATCTCGACAGAATGCCAGTTAATGTGTTTGCAGCCTCGCTGCTTTTCTTTATTGAATTTTCTAACCCTATGTTAAACACAGTTAGTCCCACTGTATTTTTCACTGATACCCTGCATCCCTTGCTCTGGAGATGGAGCTGCTCCATTACTGCAGGTGAGTGAGTTACAATTCCCTGTGTGAACTGCATTAGCTTTCACAAATGGGAAATAAAATGAATAAATTTTACAAGTGCCCTCTTGATCTAGCTAATTTACCTCGCAATTGCCCAATGATTGTTAACTCACCTAATGGCTGACAGTTCAATACATCGGATTAACTCCATCACTGGCGCTTGTCTACCCAAACCTTCCTTTCTGTGACTAACTCAAGGCAAAAACATAAAGGAGAAAAGCTACAGTCACCTGAATGTTGCTTTTCCAAACATCCATTTATGGCTCTTAATTCAGGAATACTGTTATTTACTTTCTCCTCTTTTTCTCCCTTTTATTCTCATGACACACTGAATACCCCAAATTTTACTGCTTTCTAAGCTACAAAACAGTGCAAGGTCCGTGGGCTAGATTTAAAGTAGAAAAGAGAACTTGTCACAAGGGTTTACTATGTGTGACATTATTAATCCCTGGAATTAAGTCCACCAGAAATCCTGTTGCCCTCTCAGTATTCTACAGAAAGGGATTTTCTCCCAGATTAAGCTTCTTGACTGGGTGAATATCCTTGTTGAATAGTCTTGTTTTGGGGACTCTCTATTATGATGGATTTTTCCTACAACAGGCTAGGAAGCATGGGCTGGAAATCAGCCACAAGTGACCAAAATTCTCAGCTGTGAGTTCAAACTCATGGTTTCCCTCCTACCCTTCTCTCTGAGCAGCTGTTTTTAGGTTATCACTGCCAGCCTGGTCAGTAATGTGTCGGAGAGCGCCTGTCCTCAGAAGCACTTGGCTGCTCACAGAGATGTGCTAGACACCTCACAGCTGAGAGCTGCAGCACTGCACGTCAGCAGCTGCAGCACCGAGTGCTTCTGGCAGGAATATTAACAGCTTTCATCTTTCTTGGTGCTACTTTTCAGGTTTTTTTGCTCTTGAGCTGTCAGAGCAGCCTGAACTGGGAATGATGTCTTAGCCATTCTTTGAGCAATACATCTTAAGGCACCGCTGACTGTGCTTCTGGCCAAGATTTCTGCCTGGCACACAGTATTTCACAAAAAAAATAGGAAAATGAGTAGTAAATCCAGACAAGAAATTAGGGAAGAGGAAAACCTACTGAACTGCAGGCAAACTGAGACTCATCTAGACAACTGCTACCTTCCACCATGAACTAAGAACTCAGCTTTCTGCCTTTCTTACTGCTGGCCTCTACACATGAATGCTCCCTTTACCAGTCATGTTTTTCTTCCAACTCAAGTCTTCACCTGAACTATGTCCTTCTGCATCACCAGCAGCCTCTCTTCCTCAAATGAACTGAATCCCACCTTGTCTCAGGGTCTCACCAATTTCAGGCAATTACTGCAAGAAACAGTTCTGGCCATTGCATGGTTCCACATCTGCAAATGAACTCTTGGTCTCACTCAAACCTGTGCAAAATTTGGTTATTTTTGGTATGGTGATCATTACTACAACTCCCAGCACAAATTGCTTATACAATGGACAGATTGATTATACTGTACATCACAAAGGTAATTGTTTAGAGCGTTACTTGTAACAGCAACACTTTTCCATTAATAAAGAAATACTTTATCCAGTCTTGCCATTTCCAAGTTTAGAGATATCTTTTAACCAAACACTCATTTTTATTTGTATTATTTTTGTTGGAATTTTCTTGCAGGAAGCCATTAAACTGAGATAGGTATTTGAAAACAAGGAGCATCAAGACAACTGCCTGTTATTAGTCATTTCGTGATTACTTTTTTAAAGCTATTACAAATGCTACTAGTAAAAAGGCAAACTTACTGTAGATTTAAAATGCTCTTTGGATTAATCAGAAACTTGTTAAACTGGGAAAGGTTTTCCTTACATGTTTCATCAATATGAGGAGAAAAATGTGGCCTAAGATTTAAGAAATGCTTGTGGTCAAAAATTTAACCAGCTAAGAGGCTATCTCAGAGAAGAAAAAAACCTCAACACTGTTCAAGTTGATAACTGAACTACATTTTTCCAGTATTGTTACAATACCCTTTCACTTGTGAAGTGTGTAATGACTGTTCTGTAGCAAACAATACAGGAAGCCAGCCACACTTAGGGATTTTCCCTATAAAGCCACTATCTTTTAGATGGAAAACCCACTTATTGTTTCTTTTCACAACTTTCTATTTAATTTTCAATACTTTAGCCTAAAAAATCCCACTATCTGCATACATTGCAGTAATACCTTTCAAACCAGTGGAAGGAAGTTGCTAATTACATGCCGTGGGCGCTGACTGCTTGGCAGCAGCAAAGCAGTGTTATCTCCAGGCTTAGAATAAACTATTGTTATAAATATGTTCTGTTCCATGTTAATCAGGGTATCGAGACAATTGTCATCTTTGTACAATGATCAAATGGGCAGCTCAGGAATTCATTAGGTGTGTCTGTGGTAAGCTGCAAAGCCACCTTTTGCTCAAGTCATGCCACATGAAGTGTAAGACAGATCCATTAATGAGGAGCACTGAGCATTTTCTGTTGCAATTTACCAGGAAATTTGCTTATGAAAAGAGAGAAAAGACTCTTCCTTCCCATTATATCAGGTTCAGAGGTGTTCCAAGTTAATAAATATACTGAAAAAAATAGCAGCACTGATTTAGAATGTATTAATTTTAGTGAGTTGTTTTGAATGTATGTCAATTTGAGTGAAAGCTCCTTAGCAATACTGAAATTAGTTACAGGAAAAGGATAATGGGGATGGAAGAAAATTAAAAAGAAACCAAGTCTCTATAAGCACAGTCAACAGTCTGAAGCATCTTTGCCCTTTCAAAGAAAGTAATATGCAATTAAAACTTATGTTAAAAATTTATTTTAGAATATATAATAAAATAGGGCTAAGAAGAATTTGTATTATTACCCTAAAATCAATTCATTTTCTACACCAATAATAAAGGAAAAGTTCTAAAATAGTCTTGTAATATGCAGAGAGGCAAAACATTAAACTGCTATACCCAGCACTTCAGTTGAGTAATAATCCAAACACTTCCCAAACCAGAATGTCATTCACAGTCAGCTGGAAAAATCATCATAGTTTCATCTTTCCTTTCCTTTAGCAGAAGTAACTCTGGAGAAAATGGGTAATTTATCTGATTTTTTTGCCTTCAACTTCCTCACACTCTTCCCTTTCTTCTATATAAAAAAAAAAATCCCTCCTGCCTTCTGTGCTCCTGAACACCCAAAGCACAGCCCTGCTTCCCTGTGGCAACAATAACCAGAGGAGTGTGCACAGGAGTGGGAAGTTACTCAGCATGCAAGGTAATGCTGCAGGATCAATGACATGACTGTCTGCTCCAGACTGAGAGCTCATCAGCTGGGAATCACTGAGGTGAGAAAGGACGTGGGGACCAGTCAAAGTTAGGGAGTCTCTGTCAGCTGCCAAAGGGATGTGTGTGGAAGATACTGCAGGCAGTGCTCAGAGAGGAAAAGAAGAGGTGGATATATGGAAGTGTTAATGCTATTTCATATGGCTGAGGTACACCCTCCCCTGGAAGGCTGGTTAAAGTTCAGGGAAAGTGATTCCAAGTGGAGAGAAGAGCTGTTGATCAGGTGAATACACAGCCTGTCCCATGACAGTCGAGGTGAGGTTGAGAGGTGATATAGCTGCAGCACTTGATGGGGAGACATCAATAGGCAGTGGTAGCTCACAAGTATTTATGGAAAAGAGATTTTTGGCATAATAATGATTGGGTAGAACTGGTGCAGAAAGCGAGGATGGAAATTAGAAGAAGCTCTTAAATCACCAGAGTGAAGCAGACCTGTTCTGAGTAGTGAGGGCAAAAAGAGTGGTTAACTTTGAGATGGAGCTTGAGTGACAATCAGACATTGTTCATCACAGTGCTGGACTGGCCTTGATGGCTTAAGAGCACCCATCAATCAGTGACCCCAAAGTTTTTATAATGCTGGGAGATAAAACCCAACAAGAACACGAATAAATCCTCATCACTGATGTTGAAGTTGCTATCAGCTGTTTCAGCTGTAGTGGTTTGTTTGTCACACTGGTTGTTTCAGGCTGTCTGTAGGCACTAGAGAAGATGAGCACCTGCACTCTGTTCACATGAATATGAGCATCTCCTCACAAGTCATCATTTTTTAATGAAAGCCTGTATACTGGAACATAAGATGTTAGCCTCCAGGGAAACGTATCAGCTTGTCATCTGTCCCACAAGTCAACAGGTAAAGAAAAAAAAGGCAAAATTGTTTTCTTTCCTGCTAGAATTAATTTGAATACCAAATCTTTCTGCTTATTAATGCTCCCCAAACACGAAATGGATTGAAATATCAGATAAGCTGGTAGAACTCTTATGTTTGTCATATATTATTTTGATTTAATCACAAGAAATTACGTCAATAGGTCGCCCATATGTAATCATGCACTATGCGCAGAGATCTTAATTACCCTGTTCATCAATATTCATGATAGCC